CGTTCAAAGCAGCGTACAGGCTGTGTTCAAGTCGACTGATTCTGGGGTTTTATTGCATACGCAACGCGTTCACTTTTCGACTACTATCTGTTTCTTTCCGTGTTCTTTTCGTGTGGACGACGCGAGTTGGACGCCGCAAGAACGCGCAGCGAGCACGAAAAGAAGACGAAATGAAGACGGGCGCGAACGCGACTAAAGGTAAAATGGGAAACGCGGCGGCGTCGGCTGCCAGCCAGTGTCGTTCGCCAGACCTTCTGCTCACGAGGCGAGCGGGGGTACCACTGGGCCAGAGAGACATCGGCAGCGGTGGCCGCTGGTTTGCCGGACCGGCTGACGACCGGGACGGATGGATCTCAATATCATGAGACGAGATAGCGTGTTATTTATAAATTCTGACCGTCAAAGCAACATGTCATCAAAGTCCATCCACGACGCGACGGGCGTGCGCATCGGATAGAGTGGACGATGTCAGCCACCAGCATCTGGCATGTTGGGCAGATCACGCACCACGTGAGAGATATCTCCAGCGATTCCACACACGATGCCATCTGCCGGCAAATCTTGGAAGGTCGCCCGGGCGGCTTGCTAACTCTCGCGCGGTACATGATCTGCTCAACATGCCAGATGCTGGTGGCTGACATCGTCCACTCTGTCCGATGCGCACGCCCGTCGCGTCGTCGACTGACTTTGAGGACTTGTTGCCTTGAGGGTCAGAATTTTTGAATAACACGCTGCCTCGTCTCGTGATATTTAGATCCATCCGTCCCGGTCGTAAGCCGGTCCGGCAAACCAGCGGCCACCGCTGCCGATGTCTCTCTGGCCCAGTGGTACCGCCGCTCGCCTCGTGAGCAGAAGGTCTGGCGAATGACACTGGCTGGCAGCCGACGCCGCCGCGTTTCCCATTTTACCTTTAGTCGCGTTCGCGCCCGTCTTCATTTCGTCTTCTTTTCGTGCTCGCTGCGCGTTCTTGCGGCGTCCAACTCGCGTCGTCCACACGAAAAGGACACGGAAAGAAACGGATAGTAGTCGAAAAGTGAACGCGTTGCGTATGCAATAAAACCCCAGAATCAGTCGACTTGAACACAGCCTGTACGCTGCTTTGAACGAGGCGGACGGGCTCGGGCCGGTGCAACTATTCGTCTTCTTTACGCGTCAGATTGACTTCCGTACCGTGCCCGTTTCGGCTTCATCGGGCATACTAACTGCCAACTTTAGGTGTGTGAGCAGGGTCTGTACGCGCCTCATTCACGTGCACTTAAAAAACGTGAAAAACACGAAAAATTGATGTAGATTTTTACCCGGGTGCTCCTTCAAAAAATGTTTGAGGAAATCTGGAAACAAACACTTTGGTGCCGTAAAAACGGGTGTAGCACTTCTTGCAAGGTGCGATATCGCACCTTTGTTTTTCGAGTGCTTATGAGGCGATAAGTCCGCCCGATCATCCCGAAGTGCGATCAAAGTAGGAAGAGCCTGTAGGAGCGCACTTGTGTTCAACTTCAACTTACTGCAGCGGTAGCTCGTTTACCTGCCACCGAGGGTCCATGCGACAGGGTGGGCGAGACCCGAGCAGGTCAATTAGTTGCGGCGGTAGCTGAAGAGGCAGTAGTAAAGAGCTGCCCACAAAAATACAAAAATACAAAAATATAGTTGGTATTGCAAACCTACTCTAATTTGCCTTGGTGCACCCCCCCAATCAGCTACCTCCAGTCCCGGGCGCAGACAATCGCGCTCTGCTCCTTCAACTACGTCCTGCCACAAGCACCAATTCCTGTCTCCGCCGCATCGCTCTCCATTGCCCAAATAAAATAAAATCCTTGTACAACTTGTCGTGTTACGCTTGTTACGCTGCATTCGGGAGTCAACAGGATGTTTATGACTGGTGCACCCGCTCTCATCCAGCACGCCAACAATACTGGATATGTGCGGCACTGTTGCAATTGAGGGAAGTATTGCATAAGCAAGTAGGCGCGATTGCCCTCGCGCGCCCGCCCGCCTCACGCCGGTGTTGGTGGGGCGCTTCGACTGTTGGATTTTTCTGTTTGCAAGAGTATCAGATATCCAAAAATAGTAACAAAAGGGGAGTATCAGGTGTGCTTAAGATAACAAAATAGGAAGTTTAGTTTCGAACGCAACAATCTTTAATTTGTTTCCTTGAAAAGTTTACGTTTCCTAGCGTTATTATTGTGTAACTTAACAACACTTGGTGTACCATGGGCGTTCGACGAAGAACACGTGAAGAGTGAACATGCCGTACTTGTTAATCCACTTGCTCATGCAGTCAGGAGAGTTTGGCGCAATTTGCTTTAAGAATACAGGAAAATTATCAGTTAGTCCTCATTATCATTCCCCTTGAACCTTTAAATATGCGGCGTCTCGCCTGTGTTTTACTTGTGTCCCACACGTTATTGTGTGTAAAAACCATACCAACTTTAATTTGTTTCTGCGCGTTAAACAGCTACAAATTCAGTGAGTGATTTGGTTGCACAACTTTCACCTACCTTTGCAACAAGCGCTGGAGGAGCTTCAAACCAGCCGCGGCCCTGGCTTGGTTTGCCGTACCAGGTAAAACCGAAACCATTCAGCTTGCTTGTCTTGGGTCCATACAGCAAGAAGAATGGGCGGTGATTTTCGCATTGAGATGTCTTCGATAACTCTTGGAAGTAGTGTTTTCCTTTAAGATCGAAAATACAAAATGTCGTTAAGTATGAAATCAAACCGGTAAAATTCCGGAGGTGGTAAACGCGACTTACCCATGCCGTAAAAGCAAGCCTGCTCGGTAAAACCAGCAGCAGTAGCGTTGGACTCAGTGCCAGATACCGCGAGGCGGCCGACTTCCTTGTTGTCAATGTCCACTTGCTGGATGAAGATGCCATCGGGTGCAGTCAGAGTGTTTTTGTCCATCGTTCGGCCTCCGCTCTGCAGCAATTCTGAAAGTAGTAGCGTAGGTTGTCAAACAATGTCGAAGACAATATCAAGTCTACGTTAAATAGTCTGTGTTTTAGTAGGATGCGAGGTAGGATGACGGGTTCAACCTTATCTTCTACATTACCTTTCGACACGAAGTAAGCCGTAGCGGTCCACACGTCCTTGCCGAGGAAGAGCTGACGACGCCACTCAGGTGTCAACAGCTCGTTGAGACCAGGTGCAGAGTCCTTTGAATTCAGCTCAACATAACGTATCTGGAATTAATTTTGCAGATATTAAACTTGATCACCCATTCGAGTAAAATAAAATTCAATTAGATTCTGATCAATTTAGCTGGCCAATGTTGCATCCGTGCAATTACAGTAAATGTCGTAGGTACACTAACTCAGCTATACAGCTAAGGGCGGCTAAGTTGTTACTACACAGCTTAATATATGATTAGTGATTACTGCTGAACAGCTAAAAACAGTTGCTCTAGTTTGACTGAAATTTGATAAATTTACACAGCATTTTCTTCATTGTTTCCTTCATATTTTGTCCGGTACAAAACCAAACTAAAACGTCGCAGCTGATGTTTGCCCGTACATCAGACAATTGTCTGTTTCTTACCGACACTTGGATTCCTGCGACGCTGCCCTGCTGGTCGAAAAGTACGCACACACGGTAGTCGTTCTTGCGGCACCACACTGTTGTCTTGTCTTCGTCGTTGCTAGTGACCTGGGAGAACGAATCCTTCTTGGCCTCGCGGATAGTGCGGGGCATGGAGTAGAAGCTGAACGCGTGTAAGGGGTCGGGGACGATGCTGTAGGTGACTGCAAAAAAAGCATTACTATAATGAGCACTGGATTAAGACAGGCGAGCAAAAACTCGAGATGTGTGGTCGTTTTCATGACGCTTCTCTCAAGAAACGAAAAGTGGTGTCACGACTTACCCATGAACTTGTTTCCCACGGTACCCGCATCAAGCACTGAAAAGGACTCAATTTTAAAATACTTCCTAGCCAAACTCATTAGAGTAAACAATTTGGCGCAGGCAATTAAACATTAACGATCAAGTTATATACTTACAACCAGCGATAGCAGGGCTGGCCGCGATGGCAGCAAGTGCGAGGAGCAGGCGCATCATTGTGCTGAAGTGATCACTCGAGTCCACACTTCGCAACTGGCATAGGGGCGAGTATATATACGCCAGAACCGAAGACCAACAACACTTGCCGTCTCAGGTGAATCTGTTTGCACAAGTGCGATATATCATGCGATGCCGAAAGGCAAAACATGTGCAAACAGTTTTAATAAATGTGCCCAGGTGTTCTCATATGGAACAATTAAATTTTGTTTGTATTAGCGCTGTTCGGAGAACTAGCCCTGCTCTTTGAAAACAAGTATGCCTTCGAGCATTCACCAGTAAAATGCACACTTGAACTTAAACGTCAATTGACCAGTGCATTATCGCTAACGACGTGGAAACTCTTCCTCGAGAGTCCTAGGTACACTGTTGGGTTTGAAATTGCAGTGTGGTTCAAACGACTCGAACAGGTTTCAGTTTTGTGCACTCACATGGGCTGTGGCACCTTTCTGGCTCAGGGAGTAGGCCAACCCGCTCCCATCGGCGCGTGCACCGAAACAACATAAGCAGGGTGTTACATTATATATATATTTTTTTTCAGTTTCTCTGGGAAAGAGTGAAGGAGGGGAGGGGGGATACACCAGGTGGAGGCACTATTTGGTGTGCAGCCGGTGCGCTGCTGGGGCGCACAGCATTATACGGTATGGTGCGCCAACCAGTGCGCATATCGAGTGGGTGCAGCGCGCACGGCACGCCTGCTCGCATCCGTGTCACTCTCTGGTATATGTGGTTCTATTTCACCCCCTTGACTATTGACTAGCCCTATTTTGCTAATTCCTGCACCACTTTGATCGATCGGATCTGTAAGCTATTATATACTGGCGGAAAATAGTCGAGGTCCACGCACATCTGCAATCCGCAATCCACAATCCGCAAGATCATTTATCATGTTACAAGAAATGGCTTTTCTGGGTCTAGAATTAAGGCTAGACAACCTTACCGCTGGTAGTAAACGCATTAGCTACCACAACTAATTGTTTTTGTTTTGTCTTTTTCGTCGTTCAAACACTGTAGAAACAAGTTGTAGGTTTTACTGGAAAATTTTTCTTGATTTGTGTTGTAAAATTACAACTTAAAATTGTAGTTACCTGCACTTAAAATATCAAGTTGGATTCATCAACGAGCAGTTATTGTAAATTTATACGAGGATATTTTTAACAATGAATGCAAAAAATGTTAGAAACTTTTGTGCCGTTAAACAAATTTGTCTCTAAAAATTTAAAATCTGCCTACTGAGAAGAGAAGTGCGCAACTGAATTGCAGCAACTTCACCAAGCACATGGTAGTGTTTTCATTTGTGGTGCACACTTTTAGATGTTGGACTGGAAATTTGAATACTTTAAAGTGTTCAAACACTTTGAAGCATCCAAAGCTTCATGACCAACCCTGAAGTTGACCACTTAAGACACTTTTGTTCAAATTTACTGTTAGACACTTCTGTATGTTCAAATATCCGGTTGAATACTTAAAAGTGTGCAGCTTAGTGTGGAGCACTCACATATGCAACCCAGTTGCATACTTTCTTTATCATTGTACCTATAGGTTCTTTTGCAACAACCTGTGGGCGTGTCTGACCGTATTTTCGATAACGCGCAACACTGATCAGTTGAGCACGTAATCAGACACATTCTTACGTCCCACGCGCCACGTGATCCACTTTGCCAAGCAGCACCGACAAATTTTTCGCGGGTCACTGCGCAACATAAAACCGGAATAGCATCCTCCCCTTTTCTTGTTTTTAGGAAAAGGCAACTAAAAAAGAACAAAGCGTTTGCGAGTGCGTCGGGTGGGTGACGATAGGAGCGGCACAGAAGGGGACCGAGGGGGAGAGACAGAGACGGAGATAGGGGGCACTAATTGCCAGCGCCCATGCGCACCAAAGAGGCTCGTGTGTATTTGTGAGACTGGGGAGCGCGGGGGTCGCTGAAGTCGTACACGCGAATGAACGGGTGGATGAGGGGGAAAAGCAAACGGACAAATAGCGGGGAAAGAGAGACCGAACGAAGTGGGAGTGGGGGGCAGGGGAGCGTATAGAGGTAATATGCCCGTGCGAGCTCAGTGATTACGCAGCCCACCCCCATATGTACCCCAGTCATATTTATATCGCAGCGCAAATAATGAAGCGAGCTTATCATACGAGGGGACAGAGCACAGAATTCGGGCATTGGGCACGGCGGAAGTTAGGAAGCACCGGCTCCTGTCACCTTTTCAAGCAACCGGTGGAAACAAATACACACATTTTTTTTAGCAGCATGATACATTTGAATCACTAGGTAGATGTGCGCCAGACTACGTCTCGCGTAACAGGCTTCGCGACACTTTACGAAACAAGTTACGCTGCGACGCGCCTGGCATACATTTACGTAGGCCAGCGGCGCTGACCCTACTGTAAAATGCTTATAGTTGGAGCTGCAGATTAAACTAAGAACTAGTTCGTGTATCAACACTCTAAAAAAAATCAGTACAAAATTCTGTAACATTGTTACGCAGTAATTCACATATCACATGTTACAGAAATTTGTATCGTTTTTGATAGAGATTTCAATCTGTATCATGGATACGAAAATCTGTATCACCTGATACAGAACATCTTTGGGATTTTAAAATTGTAATTCTTCATTTTGTTACTTTTCCTCCCTTTCCCCCTCTTCTTTGTTCTATGGTACTTAAGTCCTTCGATTTCATTCCAAGTAATGTACCTTGCCGCACCGTGAGTTGAACCCCAGACCCTTGGATTAGGAAGTCGCGCCTTTACCCGCGCGACCACCCAGGCTACCTGAGAAAGGTTCGCTGGAACCCGGTGTAATGCCACCGGGGCTGCCGAAGACCGTGCCAACGAAGTTCCATAATTCTGTATCCAAGGTTACAGAAAATTGTATCCAACGTTACTTG